ATTTTGTTGCAATTGATTTCAAGCGGGTAAAAACACAAAGCACTGGAATCATTAATTCTTGTTTGTGAAATAAAATAATTTCTTCAAGAACAAACTCTGCGGCATTTGCTAAACTCTAAGGAAGAATCAGTTGAAGTTCCCAGTGTAATTTAGTATTCTTAAAGGTAATAACTACTGCCTAAAATTTCACTGTGCTGAAAATTAATTTGTAATCTACTGGCATATACATTTCTATACAGTAAGCTTTAAAAAGTTTTTTTAAAGATCTCTAGATTTCTACTAGGAACTATTACTATTGCAATAATATTAGAGATATGACTTACATTACCTTTCCATTGGCAAAAATCCTACCATTACAATAGTATTATACTTCTAAAAATTGCTTTTGCTGGAATAGCTTATTATTTGGAAAACTGATTACAAATTATACTGGAGAAAAGGGGGTTTATTAGTGGTTATAAGTAGGAGAGTTTACTACTATAATTTTACTAGGATATTTTTTCTTTAATGATCTCAAGTACTGTACATTTTGGCAGTGAGCAAAATGATCAGAGCAACTCAAATTTTGCTATGTAATTTAATATAAATCTTGGTTACCACAGAAAAATCAGTACCTTTGCCTTTACTGTCTCATTCCTAATTTTCCTTTGTCCCCTGTGAAGCATGTTTACTTGCACCCTTTCCATTCTTTTTCCACCAAGATTTCTGATCTTCTCCACTGAAATAACTCTCATTTGTCAGCTCAATTGTAGCAAACTTCCAGGCTTCAAAAACCCTGAATAAAATCTATATTGTAAGTGCTTTTTAAAAGTAGGACCTGTTTTTACTAGTTTTAACTTATGAGAATAACTTTAATGGTATTAAACTCTTAGAGAGCATGACTGAGCTGTAATAGAAATGTCTTTATGACCACTTAACAGGTGTTGCATTTTTCCAGGTGTTTTGGATCACAGGAAGGGGACCAGACTTGACAACAGAATCAAAGAAAGTAATTTTGCTCTTAATGTCTCTTTTTTTACATTTCATTTATCCTAAAGTGCCAAAATTTCAGATAAATAAGACAGTGGTGGGTGGCAAAATAAGACATAAAATTGTGATACTGCTAGAGCAATTATAATAACAGAGATTGGAAACAGGTATGACGATTCCTTGAAAAATACCTTGTTCACCAGTGTTAGAGGAACACACTGTGAGGCATCTGGAGTGATAGCTGGCTGAATTCAGTTTGCAGAAAAGATGCTTCACTGATGTTCCTTTATAAGACAGTGCTGAGAGGTACACAATCAGTAATACTATAAACTAACACAAGCTACACAAGGTGATCAGCTATTTTCTCACATACAATGTTACATCGTTGTTTCATTACGATGGAATTACTCCTAGTTGGACCAGTTTTAATCCCTGAATTATCTATTTTCCTATATTAAAAAAAAAACACAACAAGAAAACAAACAAAAAACCAACAGGGACCCCCCCCACCCCCCCAAGACCCCTATATAATAATACTATTATTATTGGAAGGCAATTGAAATCAAGTCTTCAATATCTTTAATTCTTAGAAATAAAAGGTCTTTAAATTACTGTATAGAAAGATCACCATGGAGATGCCTTTTGGGAGTAAGTGTCCAGCTACTGGAGTTTTATGGATCCTGATCCACATAGTCAGTTCCTCAGAAGGGATTAAAAATGATCTTGTCCGGAGGCTGCCTTGGCAAATCTTTTATGCTAAGATTTGGATAGATCCTCAGGTAAACCCAAGATACAAAGAACACAAGAACAGCTTATAAATCTGGTCTATAGATTCAGGAATGAAGAACTGGGAACAATTCAGTTCTGTATTCCTAAATAAAAGTAAAAAAAAAAAAAAGCCTTTGCTAAGATGAATGTTGATGCAATCTTGGAGAAGTTCCACTGAAACTGTTTTTTTTCTGGAGAACAACTTTTGTAGTATTTTAAATAAGCAACAATTGGATAATTTAATAAATTATAACAATACCTTCACCAATAAATGATTATTGGAGGAAAATATTTTTGTAAACAGAAGGTGCAAGCTAAACACTTGATAGAAACTTCTAAATTCATAGAATCACAGAATTGTTAGGGTTGGAAAGGACCTTAAGATCATCTAGTTCCAACCCCCCTGCCGTGGGCAGGGACACCTTACGCTAAATCATATCACCCAAGGCCTCGGCCAACCTGGTCTTGAACACTGCCAGGGATGGAGCATTCACAACCTCCCTGGGCAACCTATTCCAGTGCCTCACCACCCTAACAGGAATTCATGACCAACTGTAATTTTAGTGGAGCCAAAGTTTATCAGGAATCAGAGCAATTGCTCAGTAATGAAAAACTGCCAAAAGCAGTGGCATCACTTTGGACAAAGACCCTATCTGTTTTCTTTTACCTAGGCAGGATGTTTAAGAGGTATTGGTTTTCATCTAGTAATTGTTGGGCTCTGTCATACTTCCCACAATGGAAAAAGAAGTGTTAATTTTGTTAGCCATAGGAGAAATATCCATCACCTCTACAAGAAACAGAAAGTTGAGTCTTGCTCCACAAAGCGGATTTTATCAGATTAAGTGACGTTTACTAGACCTTTACCTCAGATATTCTTCAGATTTCTATTTGATAATATATGTACTTAATTGCTTTTGTTTATGCCTCTTCCTAATCCTTCTCATTTTTAAACACAGCTCTCATGTCTGTGGGAGAGATTAGTTTGAACACTACCATCCATACCTCCACCAGCCAAGAGCATTTTTAGAAATAAGGCTGACAAATTGAATTTGTATTCCATACCATCACTGAACTAACTCTTACTGAAGTTATAGAGTACATTAACTGGTAGGACATCACTGAAAGAAACAGAAATGTTTTCAGCAGCTAGAGATGGCTGAAAAAGAAAAGCTGAGCAAGAGATTACTGATTTGGAAAAAGAGGAAAACTCTGCTGATACAGACTTTATTTTTCCATTAGTCCTTTGTCCACAGAAATCATGACACAGAGGGAGGAGCAAGGCTGCACTAGAGGTCTTCACAGCTATCTTCCTTTGTGCTTCAGGCCATGAACAATGCAGGCAGCTAATATACCGCAGCTCAGTGGCATTTTGCTGAAAGCTATTTCATAGCCCCCCACCCCTGCCAAAACCACAGCTTGCTTTAAACTCCCCGTGACCTCTACCACTAGAGGGCTGCACTTTATGCGATATGCCCCCTGGAGCTCTATTATCACCGTTCAAAGCAGTGAAATCAGGACAAATAAGCATCTCCTGACGTATGCCTGTAATAATTAATACTTTTATTAATATTAAATCAATAATTGTTGAGATGTTTATTATAGGCAGCTATTTGTGTAGTTAAATAGAACTACCATTAGGAAATTAGATAAGAGGGTAGTTATACAGATTTAGCTAACCTCTTTCAAGATGATCCTGTCTATCAAACTATTAAAAACCTACTTACAGGTACCAGAAAAGTTGAAAAAGATTGTATTGGTGGGACTGGGAGATAACACATTGGGAAATTATTAAACAAAAGGCATTCTGGAGAGACAAGGGGAGGCATTTGTGAAACTGCTGTTAGTAAAAACCAGACAAATGCAGGACAGACATCTGCTGAGTCTGAGAAATTAGGTTTCAGAATTAACACTTTTTCCTCTAAACTAGATAGATACGCAAACAACACACACGCCACTTATCACACTAAAACCCTTTTTGACTCTACACTTTAATATTCCTATTGTTAGGATAAAACAATACTTTTGTTTAAAGAATGCAATCAAGTAAATGTTTCGTAAGCTAACTGGAGCTCCCAAAGGGAAAACTTGCAGGTGCTGAATCAAATCAGATCTGCCACATAATTAAAATTGGTGCAGGGGGCACAGTAAAACAGATGTGGTCTTAAAACCAGAGAATTGTTTGATTCAATGTTACTACAGATGAATGGGACATATTCAGTGAGATAAAGGGAGCAGTGTTATAATTTATCCAGTTCCACTGCGGAAATTGACTCAAGATGGCTTCATTCAAACATTGTGGGTTGTTTTTTTTTTTTTTTTTTGTCTTCAAAATTTTCTGTAAGTCATCTTCTTAGTTTACAAATAAAAAGAATCCTTTTAGGACTGATGATCCTACAAACTGGACCTGAGATTTTCAAGTCATGCTGTGCTCTTTCTTGTTCAAATACTAATTAAAACTCTTCAACTGGAACTTACTAAAGAAAATGGAAAATGGAAGAGCTAGAACCAGTCCCCAGCTCACTGCACCACAATTGTGTCAGCAACTGCAAGGTAAAAGAAATTTTATTTCAGCCAGTAAACTAAGCAATTATGAGTCAGAGTGTCTTAGATACAAAGGGTATATGATGAGTAAGAAATTTCCATTTTTACACAATCATTTTTCTGGCCATATATGCTAACAAATTGCTTCCGAATCTGCCACATCTATTTCATCTGCCTGTGAGGAGGCTAGATATCGCATTCCTGGGACATGATTCCCAAGGAAGTCATTGAAAGTTTCCTGTATACAGTGCTGGACTGATTCTTAATTTGTGAATGCTTTCGGGCAAGAGCCTGCTTAGATGTTAAAAGTGTCCACATTTTAACATCCTATAATGCATTACGCATCTGGCTTATAATTCATAAGTAGAGGTGATGTGCTGTACTATATATTATATATTAATTTTGTATTTTAAGTACTAAAAATTGTTTGGGCAGTATTAATGGTAAGTGATTACTCAAACTAAGGCTGTCTCCCAGGGAGCTTAGAATGAAAACTGGATTTCATCCATAAAACTGTAAGGTTTTAAGCTTGCATAGTAAAAGGAATCAAGCCAGCAGCCATTCCACACACATGCATGTCAAGATGAATCCAGCACAGAGCATGATCGGATGCCACACACTTTTCTAAATTTTGTACAGAACTGATGCTCGAGTACTAACCTTTACAGTTCTATCAGTTTGAGAATTGTTTTCAAAGGCAATGAGTCAATCAGCAAACAGTAGAGTGCAGATGCTTTTATAGCACGCAGACAATCCCCTCGAGCCCTCCTACACCCACCCCCCTGCACCTTACAATGTATTAAGCTTCAACCGGAATAATTTGGGATTTATAAGCAGTAATAACCTTCGTCGCAGTGAAACGTCTTTGAATTTTTCTACGAAATCTTTACATCAGAAACGCCGCTCTGTGTCACGTAGCTCCTGCTAGCCCGGCTGTCACGCTGTAAAAATAAGATCTTTATTATTTTCGCTACAAGCCTGCGCGATGCAGTCTGGCGAGACAGAGACTCCCGGCGCGACCGCGCCGTACCCCGCCCGCAGCCCATCGCCCGCTGAAGGACCCCGTCCGGGCCGGCGCTGAGGTGGTGCAGCCAGCCCCAGGGACGACATGCCCCCACCGCTCCACCACCTCCTCGGGCGATCTCTGCCGTCTGCCCGCGCAGCTGCAGACCTACGAGGAGCAGCGTGTAACCCTGGTGACGCCGCATCACTGCGGGGACCCTCCCGGGGCGGGAGCCAACCTCCATACACACCCTCCCCGCCACCACCCCCCGCCGGAGAAGTTAAGATACCCCCGCCTCCCCCGTCAACGGCTCTTCCAGTCGCGACCCGCGATTGGCCACACGTTTCAATCCCGACCTAGCTCTCTTTTGTTCCGATTGGCAAGATCTGCTGCCTGTCTTCGCAGGAAACCCCGCCCTTCTTTTTTATCCCGGCCTTGCCTAAGCCTTGTCTGCTTTCCGTCGTCTGCCCCCAGTGTTTGCAGTCCCTCCTACGGCTCTAACCTCTCCTGTCTCTCGGGTTTCTGCGGTGTAGTCGGGGGCGGTAGCCCCCCGCCCAGGCACGGTCAGTGAGCACAGCCAGGCAGCCGCCCGTGCGCCCGGCGGTGCTGCTGGAGCGCAAGAATAGCGGCGCTTCACGGGCAGAGATCCCCCCTCTGCTCTGCTCCCCACCCCCGTGCGCACGAGCCTGTCACTGAGGGAGGGCACGAGAGCCCGGGAACGGCGGCGGCAGGCGCGGCACTGGGGCAGGCGGGGACGGAGTAGGGCTCGGGGACAGCGTGAATCATCTCCCACTCACTCCCTCGCCCACCACTGACACCGCTCGCTCGCTCCCTCCCTCCCTCCTTCTCCCCCTCCCTCCCTCTCTCCCTCCCTGCCGCCTCAGTCTCACTCGTTCTCTCTCCCCTCCCCACCTCTCCCACTCACTCTCTCCCCTCCTTTCCTCTCCCACTCACTCTATCCTCTCCTCCCTCTGTCTCTTTTCACTCTTTCCCCTCCTTCCCTCTTCCCTCTCGTTCCCCTGTCTCCCTTCTCCTCATCTCCTCCTGACACTGCACTGCAGCTGCTCCTCCAGCCCAGTCCTGCTCGCTTCCCTCCCTCCTTTCCCTTCCCTCCCCCCGGGTGCCAGATAAACAAGGCGTGCAGCATCCTCGACAATCCAGAGCTAGCTCTACGTTTTCGAAAAGGACAAGAGAGCGGGACTAGCCCCCTCCCCTCTTCCTCCTCCCCCTTCCTCCTCCTCCTCCTCCCCCCTTCCCTCCCTGCCCCCCCCCTCCCCCCCCCCCCCCACCACCACAGAAGGGAAGAGACAATTCTCCTCCGAGCAGCAGCAAACATGATGGCGGCAGCTCCCATCCAGCAGAACGGGACCCACACCGGGGTTCCCATAGACCTGGACCCCCCGGACTCCCGGAAAAGACCGCTTGAAGCCCCCCCCGAAGCCGGCAGCACCAAGAGGACCAACACGGGCGGTGGGTATATTCTCTGTCACCTCCCCCCCCCCCCCCCGCCCAACACACCCACCTCTCTGCTTCTCTACCTGCCTGTCTGTCTTGCCCCTTCCCTCCCCCCCAAACATTCCCATTTCTCTAATGTTATCATTCATCAAAATGGCGTCGGTTTTCAGCATCTACCAGTCTTTTTATTTAATATCCACGCTGGGGCTGCACAGCCGTGACCCTACGGAGACTAGGAGGGAGCACAAGGGGCTTCTGCAGCCCGGTTATCTCCCTTGCCCGGCTAACGATGGGTGAAAATAAATGGTAGCTGGAAGGAGACTGCAAACGCACTACCCTCCTTTCACATCCTCTGGGTCGCAAATTGAGTCTCAGCCTTGCCGTGCGTTTTCCTCCTCCTTGGCCTCGCTTCTATTGTCAGCGCGTACGCGGCGTGTGTTCGCTGTGCTGGGGGCGAGGGCTGGCTGGCGGTGGGGGGGGGGGGGGTGTCGCCGCTCGGCTGCGGGAACGCGCTAGTTAACATCCTGCCTTTCCTGGAGGATATGAGTTATAACGGGACCAGCACCTCCGCTGTCCGTTTGCGCTGGAGTCGTCATAACAATGCATCGAGGCAGAGGTGAATTTATTTGCCCAATATTAAGGGCAGCGGTCTGACTGCGTGGTTCAGCCGGCGATGTTCATACGGGTGGGCACGGCTGTAGCACACAGGCACTTCTAGAGACGCTTGTAGTCTCTGTTGAGAGACGTAAGGTGAACTGAGATCGTTCCTTCTGCCTAGGGGAAAAAAAGCAGCAACTTTGTGAAACAGGTTTCATGATAAGAATCTTTACATCCATGCCAATAGGACGTTTCCTTAGTTCCTGGGGAGAGCCCAAGTCTGGGGAACCAGCGTATCCTAATTGACTTGCACTTTTCCGAGCCGGTTACAGAAGGTCCTTAGACTTAAGTGTAGCTGGATTTAGAAGTGAGGTGAGGGCACAGACAATTGTGCGGTTGCCGAATCAGACGGGGAAACCTTCTCCCCCCCATCCATTCATTCTGTGTATTTTTTTCCTCTTCCGATTGTGAGCTTTAACGCTAGTGGTGGGTAGAGTACTGGCATTGTCGATCTCGTCACCTTTTAAGTGTATTTAAAATAAGTGACTTAGGCTTTTGATCAGTTGGGAAAAATTCTTCTTAATGTCTTTTAATTAATGAGCTTAAAAGAGATCGTTGTCACTTAAGAAGTGCTAAAGGAATACATAAGGATTACTTAGGCAAGTGATTCCATCAGCACCATGTTGAGTTGTTTTCTTGGCAGTGTCTGAAATGCTTGGAATAAAACACCACATTTTGGGTGGGTTATTTGGTAGCAGAGTAGTTGTTTTGCTTACTTAAGAAGAATGCAGGCAATAGCTAATTGCTATTCTTATGTGTTTGCTAATGGCAAACAAATAGCCCATCAGAATTTACAATTCATTCCTTTTTAGTTTGGCATTTCTTTTGCAGTATTTTCAAGCAAGGTTGTAGTTGTCACTAGTCGCATTTTCGTGCAAGGCTTTATTTTTTTTTAAAGGGGTCTGATAATTTCATGCTGTTGTTGCCTTTGGGGAAAAAAAAAACACCACCTTTGAAATATATTTTTGATCTTATTCTTTTACAAAACTAAGGAATCTATGTGGATTCTTTATTTTGCTTTGAATATATATACATATTTTAAAATATTAAAGTTATAGTCTAAACCTGTCTTGTAGAATAACACAACTGGTTAGATGTTACGTCTTTGAATGCCTGCATTTACATTTTGTTTGTTTGTGGGGCTGGGGAGGAAAAATCAAAGTTTGTAAGCCATATTAACCATGCATATCTCAATTTTTCAGAGGATGGCCAGTATTTTCTAAAGGTCCTCATACCTAGTTATGCTGCTGGATCTATAATTGGGAAGGGAGGACAGACAATTGTTCAGTTGCAGAAAGAGACTGGGGCCACCATCAAGCTGTCTAAATCCAAAGATTTTTATCCAGGTAGGTGCAAATATTAGCTAATTCTTTCTTTATGAATCCCAGGGGATGTATGTGTGTGTCATTGTGTTTCATATAGTGACGACTATGCTACCAGTGCAGCTGGAAGCATTATATTCTCAGAAAAGTATGTTACAGAGTGCAACAGTGAATATAAATGTTCTGTCTTGGTTTATGGAATGGGCTGGACACTAACTACTTTGAAAAAAAGTTTAAATATGTTTACAATGTTTCTGCAAAAGAATATTTTCATTAGCATTCACTGATTTGTTTTTTAGCTTAAAAAAAAAAAATCTAGGTTTAATGAACCAACTTGACAGCTGGCGTAAAAAATAATTGTTCGTTTGAAGTTTCTAGACATTGTAATGACAATTAAGCTAGAATCAGTAAAAATGAGAGGCCGCTTCTTAAAGAATGGGCCATTTACTTTAAATCCATTATGTACCTTCTTTCTGCTTCACCGCTTTGTTCACTGGTTCTGGATTGAAGTAAAGAGGAGAAGTGCCGTTCTCTAAATATTCTTTTTATTATGTTTATCATGATGGTGGAAGAAAACTACTATAGAAGTGAAATACATTGGCTAAATAATAAAATGAGTACTTTATCAACTGTACTAATGTGCGAGAAAAGTATTTTAATATTTACATATAACAATAATAAATGCATTATTTATCATTTCTCTTTTATAAGATTTCTGAAGAGGGAATCATATAATGATATACAAGATTTGAGCTTCTGCAATCGAATAAATTTTTCCCTAAAGATGAACAAATTAGCATTCTGTAATTGAACTTTGTTCTAGAGGACTTTTTAAAAACTGGTACAAAATAATAACATAGCTAACACTTTTCGGTGTTTTGATTTCGTTATTTTGAAGAATAACTGGTGATTTAGGTTCGAGTTGGCTAGCTGCAACAGACTTTTTTCTTTTGGAAAAATAAGACCAGCTTTGCATTTGATCTAGTTTAACAAGATACCTGAATTCTACAGAACAGTAGAGGCAGTTGGGTATGGATGTAAGCAACACAAACACTGGAGCATTTAGCTTTCCCATCCTCTAACTTCAGCGTCAGGCAGAAGTGGATAGTTTTTTATTAATGGAGAGATTGTGGTCTATTTACAGTGATGATTGTTGATGTAGAAATTTTAATGCACATGTTGTATGTATCCTTAATGCATGTAGTTTGTAATACTTAAATGTCAGATGTTAAAGTGATGTATGTAGATTTTTCCTGTTAAAAGATACAGCTAATGAACTGGTGCTTGTTGCCTTTGAGGTTTGGAATTTTTTTTTCTTTTAGAAGTTAGAAAAAATGATCCTTTATTTTGAAAGGTATGTTAGGGTAGGAAAAAAAGATCAATGTGGAATTGTAAAAAGTCTTAGAAAAAATAAAAGCATTCAGAAGAGCCTGATTGCAGAATTAATAGCATAATCTGGATAAAGAGCCGCAATAGTAAATTAAATTCACTGTCAGTAGATGAAAATGAAATAGATTTTCTGCATTATACATGAGGTGGTATCAGATATGCAAGGATGTTACAGAATATTGGTGTTTATGAAGAATATTCCAAATACCAAATTACAAGCCTTTTCATTTTACTACAGTTTATTTACACTCACTTGGAAAGGATGCTGCAAAGATTAGATCTTTTGTTCAGTGTGCTAGCAGAGTTCTGTTTTCTGATTAAATTAGAATTACATATTTTTTTGTGTAGTAAATTGTAAAGATACAGCAGTAGTAGCAGACGAACCTTTGAAAAATAAAAATTGGCAAGCTAGAATGGCATGAGTAAAAATGTGACAAACCCATGCTCCCTTAAAATCACTAGTAATATAAATAACTAAGGCAGAGAGGCTTAAGCAGTTTCACTGTAACAGGTGCAAATGAAGTTCAAGTTTGACTTCATACAGTGCTTTGAATTTGCAGCCACGTTGCATCATACAGAAAATGAGTGTTTTAAGGAAGTTGGCGAGTGATACCTGCTTAAGTGTGGAACAGGGATGGGAAATGGATTACAGTGTGGCTAGCTCTTGTTAGTCTATTTATGTTTGACCACCAGCCCCAGGAATTTCTGGAGGTCCTGGCATTCCCTGAGCTGATGGCTTTTGGGTTTCTTCCAGGTTCTCATGCTTTTATGGCATTAGGTAATACAGACCTTGTGAAATAGCTAATATAAAGACATGGTTTGTTTTTCTTACAAAGTTTCTTAAGCAGTTACTCTGTTTTCCTATTAGGAGGTTACTTAGTCTGTACCTCTGGTGTTTGTGACTGTAAGTGTATTTAAAGTACATTTTGCTATGGAATGTTCTCCTGCTGAAGCTTCTGTGAAACTTTTCTTTCTGAAAAGTTTTAGATCAGTCCGAGTAAGTTCTTGTTTGGAAGGGCGAAAGTTGGTTGTAACACATAAGTTGTGAATAGTTCTGTGATCTAATAGTGTTCTTTTTTTTTTGTTCTTTTTTTTTCCTCCTCTGTGATATAGGACTTCAGTATACAGACTGATTTCTGTTGGAATTATTTTTGTGCATCAAAAGGTGACTTAATTACTGAAGAAGTATATGGCAGCTCTAATTACAAGAAATTGAAGGAAAAAAAAGCTTTGCACTAAACATCTTAGTTTACAAAAAAGGAAGCAGTATCTACAGTGTATATAAGTACATTACTGACCAGTACAGTCTTACAGTCTTACTTTTTGTTTACATAATTTATTGTTTTTCAGGTTACCAGCTTACTTTCTCTAATTGTCTGGACTTCTACAATTTGATTTTGTTACTGTGCTTAGATTTTCCCTGATTCTTTTTTGTTCAGGCTTGTTCCCCTAGATTAATGGAAATGAAATTAAAGTGGCAAAATACGTCCTACTTTTAAAGTAAATGGTGCTTATCCTTTCTGTAGAGAAGTATCAAGTGTGTATTGACTAGCAGGTTCTGGTCCAAAATTTAAACAGGGTCATAGCTATGCTACTTTAATAACATGAACTTCATAAAGAAAGTGGCTATCCTGTGAAGCTATCTTAATGTGTGGTTTTATTTTGAATAATATAAAAAAGTTTTCCTGTTGTATTAAGTCATTGTCATCTCTGTTTCTCCATTCTGAATTACAGTGAGCACTGGACTGAAAGCTACTCTGGACATGTGTATTTTTTCCCATTGCAAATGCTGGCATTCACTCTCGCTTTCTCTGTCTCTCTCTGCACTCATTCCCAGTCTTTCACATGCACACACACACACAAAATTATGTTACATCGCATCATGTTGTTTATCTTGAAACAGGATCTTGCCTGGTCTGAACTTGGTGCTTGAGTGAATTTGAGCTCGGTCAGCGTTTTTCAGTTTATTGGAATATGAAGTCATATGTGTACTGAAATTAGATCATATTAAGAGCAGAGATTAATAAAGCTGTAATTAAGTGGGGTAAGGTTTTACTGTTGTTAACAATAGATTAGCTGGTTTGTTTTTATAGCAGATTTCTAATCAGTAGTGATCTAAATGTTTGGAGAATACAAAACGTAGTAGTTTCCTTCCTTGCCTTGTGTAGATAGTGTATGAAGTGTTGTGTGGCAATGCTATTTTTTACCAAGTCACTTGTATTTCATATGTTTTGTTTGAATATCAGATTTTTCTGAAACATTCATGTTTTATGGGATATAGTCTAGCTAATCTTTGTGCAAGTGCCCTTTTGAATAGTTTTTTATTCTGACCCTTAAAAACCTTTCAAATTCATTGAATGTGCAAGTAACACAACTTTAAAGGAATTTATAATTAAGTTAACTTCCTAGCTTCATTACTCCTGTTAAACTGTTAGGGGAACGGTATAATGTATCAGCTCAGTTCACTGTTATTATTTCCTTTATATAATAAAGGACTTGTCATGTTAACTCTTAAAAAAAACAGCTAAAAGTCTAGTAGGGAAAAGAATCTGTATTAAAGATCAGCACTTTTAATAATGAAGTAAAATACTGCTTTTTCAGCTGTAGAAGAGAAAGAAGAGTTAGAAGCGTAACAGTATTAGTTATTAGCTGCCTGTTGTTGTGGTTCCTCGAAGCTGGTTTGTCATACATCAAAAAAATGCGTCTCGCTTTTATTCTACTTTTTTTTTCTAATGTTAACATTAGCTAACTAAAGACTTCATAAGGGTGTATTTAAGATTTTCAGTTTCTGGTGGAAATATTTACTTATATGAGTAACTTTGGGGAGAATGACATTACTAAATAGTGAGTAGAGAGTTCAGAGGTGGAATCTAGAGCTGTGTAGGTTTGTAAAGTAATCACTGATCTTTCTAGTTTTTTTTTTTTAAGACCAACCACCAAAAACCCGCAAGTGTTGATTGCCAGCTGTTCAGACAGATAATTCTCAGTTGGACAGTTGTCTGTTGCCTAGTTACTGGAACAGAATAAAAGAAAGTTAGCTTGTTAGCCAGCAGATCCTTAGTATTTTACATTTAAAAGGAAGCTGAAACTGAATATGTAACTTGGTATGGTCTTCAGATTTTTACATATCGGACTCGCCCAATGTAGTATCGCTTAGCAGCTTCTCATTTGGTAAGTGTAGAGAAATTTTGAAAAGTTTAAGTAGAAATTTTGCACTGATTTCATCTACATGCGGGGACTTACGTTAATGAGTGAATAAATTTTGGCATAGTAAATGGCATTGGTTTGGAAGAAAATGCTGTGTCTTTGTCTTGTGTGAGAAAGTTTTAAAACAACTTGTGATATATTTGGAATGGTTAGGCTAACTTTAATAAATGATACAGATTATATGTGCACTTGGTTGTCGAACAAAGCATGTCTTATCAAAGAGAAATGCCATATTTAATAATTTTTAACTTTTCTTGTGATTGTTTTTGACTAATTTCCAATATAATTGAAAACCAGATGATTATGAATAGATTAGAAAGCTTATGTAGATGAAGTTGCTTCTAGTAACAGTACTGTTTTTTTGATAAAGTTGAAATTTCTCTAAAGTAATTCATTAGGAATACCTATTTAATGGACTTCTGCATTCT